CGTAAGCTCTGCTCCTGCGAAGCCTTCTCTACGGGAGTAAGTTTATTGCTGTGGTGTATGTGGACACCACCTGAATTCCGTGCCCAGAGAAGTGCAAGATGAATTTGTGAAAGCAGCTGAGTGTTAATTTTGTGCATGTCATACCACTATTTTGAACTGTAATAGTTGCCTCTTGCATTAAGTAGATTTAAAGGTATTTTGAACTAGGAGGCAATAAAACGTTCAGGATCTGCAAAACAGCTTCTTTTCCATCTGATCGCTCGCTATCAACACCTTCTCTTTGGATTTGGACTTTTTTCCCCTCTACATCTCGCTAGTACAAATGCTGCAGAGGCACCCGTTTGTTGGGAAGCTTTAGCCCTGTTTGCCAGGTCCTCGACGGGGGTTTGAGCATGTCAGCTGCGTTCTGCTGCTGCGGGTTCTGGAGCAGGCAGTTGCAGTTTGGTTTATGCACTTTATAAATGGGGCAACAGCCCTTTTTGTAGGTAATTTTTGTTTCGTGTGAAGAATAGAGAGGCATATAAGAGTCACTTTACATAAAAATACATAAATTATTGAAGACTGTAAGAGAGTCAAAGTTCAAACCAGAGAGAATCTTTAACTAGACATCCCCAAAAATACGAAAATAAACTCTTTTCACAGGGAGGAATTAACCTTATCATAGCTTTTTCATTTTTGTTTGGGTTCACTAATTGACGTTTCTGTTAATAGTCTGTTACGTTTTTATACAGCTTCCTTGTAAAGTGGCTAATCTTCAGGTTTTGTTTTAACTGTATCACTTCGGTATAAAACCTACCCTGTGATACATGCTGGGAACCACTGATTACAGTGTATTTTTCAGATAAGTGACTCCAAGGGATTTAGACTAATTAGCAGACCACTATTATAGGCTGTTTATTACTGGATTTTTCAAAACCTTCATCATGGGGAAGAAATGAAAGAATAAAAATTTGGACTACCGGAGTACAGTTACTGAAAAAAATGGAACTTAAACATTTCAATGTCATTTCAGTACTAGCAGACTATCCTGAAACCTTAGTTTAAACTAAATAAATGAAGTTTTATCCAGTTATTGGTCGTGGGGGAGGTTGTACGCACCACTCTCCCTCTGCCCTGCCTTCTTGGTGCATGCCGCTGAAGTGAAGGCCCGTTGGCGGGCAGGAGTGAAGGGTGCGGGTGGGCACAGGCTGGAAGAACAGAAACCCCCAGCTGTGGGGTGGGTGTGGGGTGGGTGCGCTTTCTGTCAAGCCTCTGGACGGCCAAGTTCTTCTTCAGACTTTTGGAAAAGGGCGGGGGGTGAGAATCATAGAATCATAGAATCGTTTAGGTTGGAAAAGCCCTTTAAGATCATCCAGTCCAACCATTAACCCACACTACCAAGTCCACCACTAAACCAGTCAAGGGTAGACCAGACTGAACCATGTCCCCAAGTGCCACCTCTGCCCGTTTTTTGAACACTTCCAGGGATGGGGACTCCCCCACCTCTCTGGGCAGCCTGTTCCAATGCTTGACCACCCTTTCTGTGAAGAAATTTCTCCTAATTTCCAGCCTAAACCTCTCCTGGCGCAGCTTAAACCCATTTCCTCTTGTCCTATCGCTAACTACTTGGGAGAAGAGCCCGACACCCCCTCGCTACACTCTCCTTTCAGGCAGCTGTAGAGAGCGATGAGGTCTCCCCTCAGCCTCCTCTTCTCCAGGCTGAACACCCCCAGCTCCCTCAGCCGCTCCCCACCAGCCCTGTGCTCCAGACCCTTCCCCAGCTCCGCTGCCCTTCTCTGGACACGCTCCAGCGCCTCAATGTCTTTCTTAAAAGAAGCAGCACTCTGGCCTGCAGAGCGGCAGTAAGGCCAAATGAGGTGGTGGTGAGCGCCTGGTTCTCGGTTGTTTGGGCCCCCGGTTAGACGGGCGTGCGTGGTCGGTGGGCCGCATCGCGGGAATTCGTTTGCGTCTCTGACGGCTTCTTTCGTCACGCAGGTGCCGACGTGACGGTCACAGAGCCCAGCAGCTCGGACAGCAGGGTGGAGCGCCCCGACCCCTACGCGAACGTCGACGAAGCCCTCCTCGGTGGGGAGGCCAGCTACATCTCTCAGCCCCTGACCCCAGAGAAGGAGGATGCGCTCCAGGCTGCCACCGTCGCCAACCTGCGCGCGGCTCTCATGAGTAAGAACAGTTTGCTGTCTCTGAAAGCCGACATGCTGGGAGAGGATAGTTCTCTGCTGTTTGAGTACTTACCCAAAGGCACGCATTCTCTCTCTCGTAAGTTTGTGGTTTTTATATTTTTTTGTTTACTGCTGCTTTAAGTGAAATCTTTAGCGAGAAGAAAATGCAGGTCACCGTCTCGTTTATTACTGCTGATATGTTTATATCCAGTTTTAATTCCTGCCTAATCCCACTTCCCCTAAAATTTGGAAACCTGTGTCTGGTATTGATCCAACTTCAATGTTAACTGCTGAAGCCGTGGAAGGAAGTATGTCGTGTATGCGTATGTAGCGCTTGTCCTCAAATTTCTCTTTCGCTTGTTTGCAAAATGGTACTTACAAACAAAATACAAAGTAGTTGAGTCCTTAGGGTAAAAGAAGTAGCTGCAAAGGTTTTGAATCCAAAATTGCCCAATGTTGAAAGGAGGCTTGACTGTTGCTCCCATGTCTGTAGAAACAGTTGGGATTTTGAAGATCACGTGATCTTTACTTCTTGCTACTTGCTTTTAGACCTCTAAGTAATGAGCAGCTATCGATTGTTTTGTTATACTCGCTCGTGGAAACGAAGGTTTTGCTACTGGTGATCTGTTGGAGACAGCTGATGTGTACCATTATGTGCGGACAGCTTATTTTTCAGCATACTCTTGTATTTTTTTCATTGCAGTCGTAAAATAGCTTGATTCTCCAGTGCACAAAGAAAAATTATTAATGCTGTATTCTTAATAATACTCTGAGAAGATGGGGATATCATTTGTGACATGAAATAGAGCAAGCGGTGGCTTTCTGAGTACTGTGTATTAGTTTCCAGCAGAAAAGGTTTATTTTAATCTATACTGAGAAAATTGACCAATGAAATAAATATCTTAAGTGACCTTTTCATTCTATTTTTAGTTTCTTTGATGGCAAAAAAATAGATAACTTCTAATGGTCACTTGGGTTGTATGATAAAAGGAAAAAACTGCACAACATAGTGTCGGTCTTAGTATCTCATTTCACTTCTCATGGCTGAACAGTAGAATTATTTTTTAAAAAATCTTTCTAAATTTAGAGGAAAAAAAATTTTTGTACCTTATTCTGCAGCTTTAACGTTTGGGGGAGAATTGCTAAGGCAATGTTCTTGTTACTTGCACCGTAGTTCGCTTGCTGAATGATCTCCAATTAAATCCGAGGTAGATGGTTCAAACTGGGCTCCTGGGTTGCAGATCCCTTCGTGGCAATGAAGTAGCAAAGATCCTGTGCAGCAGCTTGATCGCCGGGCTTGCGTGCAGTGAGAAGAGTGCCCTCAGCTGGCACCGGGGCGGCTGGGAGCGTAGATCGATGCGCGGCTGCGAGGGTGATTTATGCCCCGCGTGTTCGGATCTGTGGCTCGTGACAGGTGAAATCGGCGGTTTCATCTTCTGTCATGATAAACTGGAATAATGACGGGGCTGCCCTCTATCCATCATCCTTCTCTGGGGTGGAGGATTCTAGATTTTACTTAAAAGCTGAAGGACCACTTGGCGTAAAGACAAATGAGTAAAAGGCAGTCATAAATTTGGCCTAGAAATTAGTGAGTGCCTAACTGGCGGAGAAACGGAGTTCGGGAACAGGCATGCTGCAGGCAGAGGACCAACTGGGTTTAAAAATAAAGCTTGATAAGTTTAGAAAAGGGGGTAAACGACAGCTCACTGAGGGGTGCCATGGCTCGGGAGGTCCTTCCAGCCTGCATTTGAGGTCCCTGTTTTTCACTATTACTTGAATTTCATTCAGCTAAGCTTCAATAATCTCATCTTTGTGGAAGCGAAGAGAATTGCGTAAGACAGAAAGGCGACTGCTCGCTTGTCTGCAGCTCTCACGCCAGCGGGTGGATGTGGCTGGGGCCTGGTCAGAGGGTTTTTACAGAGGCAGGGAGTTAAGGGACATATTTTTCTTTCATCCTATTCAGATTCACAGGTATTGATTTATTTTAATGACTTGAAGAAGATGTTCCGATACAAGACTCGCTTGCTTTTAAGTGGTCATTACTGAATACAATAGGACATCAAGTTTAATGAGAATTTTCAGTGTATAAAATGACAGTAAAGCAAGCGGCAAGAAGATTCTGGAGATCTAAAAGCACAGTCTAGGTTGGTGCTAGCTTTGTAGGTGTTTTTCACATTTTTCTTCAAACACAATTTGAGGATGTTGAGTCATTTTAAGTCCTGGGTTATATTAAAAAAAAAAAAAAAGCGGGGGGGGAGCATTGTGGGGGAGTAGGCAGGAACACAGTGAACAAGATTCTTATTTTTTTAAAAACCAAAACCAGCACAGTGTGTGGTAGTTTTCATCTGTCTGATTTGAAAAGGAAACACACTGTTTTCAAGATTTTTAAGTGATCAGTCTCTCTTGAGTTTAAAAAAATGTGAAGTGTGTTTTTAATCTTAACTGCTGTAACTAGATTGTCTTCGTATTCTCTTATGAAGTAATACAGTAAGGAACTGACTCAAGGAGCAGCGTTCACGTTTATTTTTATTTTCTGGAGGAAAAGACTTAATGGAGGTGGACAGATCCGTATTATACACATTTAAAATTCTGATGAGCCGTTTCTTAAGGGGATGTTACTCTCCAAGTTCCTGCGTACATTACAAGTTTTAATTTTTCTTCCACATAGTTCATACTGTGTAGAAGTTAATAGAGGATACCCCAAGGTTTTCGTTTTACCCTGTGTTCTTTTCTCCTATATCGTTGTGTATTGTAATGATCGTATGAGGTGTGAAATTACTTAACGGTCCGCTGATGGAAAATGAAGCCCGGCTGAGGGGGGTGTTGTATCAATATGATGTAGTCAAACGTAAGTACAGCATTTCCAAAGTTAACCAGTTCAAACTAATTTCAAATCAGAAGGGGAAATGTAAATACCTTGCCATTTGGGTAACACAGTTGCCAGATAACCTGCAGCTGAAGGGCTCTGGGAATTTGTGACGTTCGTGGTGTGCGATCAGGACTGACATCTGTATGCTTGTCAGAAACCTGAAGAGCACGCGGGTTTTGCAGCAAATAGTGTGTCAGTTATTCATGGGTAACGCTGAGGTCGTCTTGGGTACATTAGTTATTGAACCGCAGTTTGTTGTTGGGGATGTCTTTCAGATAAGACAATGTAAAAGGTTCCGTTTTCCTCCTCGTTACATGTTTTCACGGTTTGTCTGTAAAAGCGGATTCTTCTTTGCTGATTTCCAACTCCGGCAGTGCTGTTCTGAGCTCCTTGGTTTAATAATGTGTGGTTTATTTCATTTATGATACTGAACTTTGGTAGCATTGTTCCGTACGGTTACACCACATCTACAAAAGTCTCAAAGGCTTTAATTGAATGTTTTTAGTTGGTTTTGCCAAGTATAATGTAGAGAATGAGAATTTCAATATTTGCTAGAAAATGAGTTGGTTAGTGTACATCCTTGTTTTCTCATTTAAAAAAAAGCCAGAAAACTTTCAGATTTTGGGGTGATTGACTACCTTAAAGGGTGACTCTTCCACATTTCCAGAATAGTACGTTGCATACTTTTTTATATGTCTAAGTTTGGCTTTTCCTGTTTACCCTGTTGCAACCGAAACTGTTTATAGAAGCAATTCCTGTGAAGCTTTCTGTCCAAGTGATTACATGGTACACAGAGCCCTTTTCTTTTGGGCAAACCAGCTAATACGTTATTTTTAGTTAGTGGTTCATTGGAGCAAATAATTTATACTTGCACTGGATGTTAAAGGAACACATTTTATACGCAGTGGTCAACGTTCCCAAGAGGGAGTTAGAGGTATTCAGTTTGGCGCGAAATTTTTGTAGGTGGTAAACCAAGATTTAGGGGAGAATGGATGCAGTTTTAAATGAGATATAATAACCTATGCCTTTCTATTTTCCACAATAGTTTATTGTCCAGCTGTCAGAGAACACTATATTCACATAAATAACTGCTAAAGCAGTGCATCATCTTCTGTATGCAAAGCTGACTGAAGGAAAGCGCTTTTGATCTCTGATTTAGAAATTAAAATACTTTTCATTAAAATTAATTTCAGTACAAATTTAGGAGGGAAAAAGGTTTCTCACGGCACTACTCAGAATGGGACAAAACGTAAATTCCGATGCTGTTTGTGTTCTCATGTACAAAGTACGGGTCATATATGTGGGTTTCTCTTCTTGTGTTACTTGCAATTGTTGAAACCAAATAAATATTAATTATTGTTTTAAAAATCATCTTTGTACTTTCTTGTGTTGTACATCTTTGTGGCTCATGTTGGGTGATGGAGTTTATTGTTTCTCCTTACTCTGTTTCATTGCTTGTTCATTAGCCTTAACTTTTGCTTTAAGAAGTGCACAGTTTCTTAGGAACCTGTGTAATTCTGCGAAGGTGCTAAGAAAGAATTAATCAAGCCAGACCCCACTGGCTTATCTTCACTGTATGCTAAAATACCGTTTGCTTGAGGAAGTGCAACCAGAGATGCCTCTAGGTTGTCTGTGGCCACAGCGTGTAGCTTCAGCGTAAACAGGGCGCTTTGAATCAGTTCGGGATGTTCGGGGGGGAAAAAAGGAACGTGTGGATGTCTAGGCAGGAATTCTGCTGTGGACCTGGACAGCTGCATTCCTGGTAACAGTTTCCAGTGGGAAATACTGATGAATTCACTTTTTTCCCGTCTTTTCCTATCTTGAATTTACAGGGGTTTAGCATTTTGTTGTCCTGCCTTTAAATTGTAACAGCAATAGTCGAGCACTGCCAGAATGAAAACTTGAAGTATTGTTATCACACGTGCATAGCGTTAACTAAGTTGTGAAAGATTAAAATCTGCGATCAAAGCGGAGGAAGGTAAATCAAACATCCAGCTTGTGGCGCAAGAGCAGAATTTCCTTTGATAGCTGATAAAAAGTTAGGTTTGGGATTGTTCGCGTTTAGAAACCTTTGTGTGGTTTCACTCGGATGCTTTGTTGTGACCCAGATCACAGTGTATTGTATTTGGACACAGCATAAACTTTGACTTGTTATTTGTAGCTGCATTAAAGAGTGTGGTTTTTATACGCGTAAAGGTTTCAATCAGACTCTTTTGTGTTAGAAGTAA